GGATAAAAAACATATATATATGTATACATATGTATGAAAGTAGAAATGGAATAGTATTGGTGATAACATGCTTGATTAAGACACTATGCAGTTTATCCTAAATGGGAAACTACACTTAGTGTGTTGTGATGATGCTCAGGGAATGAGTGTTAGGTAATATAATTTAATAAAAAAAAAAAAAAAGCAGGAGGAAAAAAAAATGCACATTTGATAACTGCAGCGAGCTGTATGGGCACAGCTGGGTACTATTTTATAGTATGTTCATTCTACTCACTGGGGTTTATGCCTAGGGTCAGATTTGGGTACATGTATAGGTATGTGTCAGCTGTGCTAGCTATTGGATATATTTAGACCAATTGAGTTCATTGGCAGAACAATTGAATGGGAGGGGTCGGAAGGCATGGAGGGCAATCATGGATGCCAGGGACAATGATGGGACATGGCAGAGGGTGGGGGATGGGGAATCAGGGATGGCAAGACAAAGGGCAAGGTATGCAGGATGTAAGAATTGGAAAATTACTTGCTGAGAACATGTATGTTGATGTGCTTGATTGAACCAGTACACAGTGTATTTTGGATGGAAAATTTATTGGTGGGTTGTGATGGTGTATAGTGAATTAAGGGTAGAAAATAAAAATAAAAAAAAAAAAAGTTTTGATGAGGACAATAAATAAAATCAGACCAGCACAGATAGGTGGTGCCATCTAGTGGATATGTAACACAACTGCATTGAACCTAATTTCACTACTCCAGGTGCATCTCTCGGCAAAAGATTTTTGGGTGTGATTCAATTACCTTTGTTATTATTTTTTGAAACTTTTATTCATTATTATTATTTTTGAATTTTCTAAGACCTTGAATGCTCCAGAGAGAGATATAGAGACAGAGACAGAGAGAGGAAGATAAGAAGAGGGAGGGAAAGTGAGAAAGCACTGCCTTGGGGGCTCAAACTGCAATCTGCTATATGGGAGTCCAGCACCTTACCCACCAAGCCACCTGGTGGCCTCAATTACCTTTGTTATAAACATTTTTGTGTTAAATAAATTATCTAAGAGTTTTGTTTTTTTAGATTTATCTTGGTCATAGGGTGCATGCACTTGCTGGAGAGAGATACAGAGAAGAAAAGTGAGAAATTACCCTGCAAGGAGAATGACCGCACTGCAATCCCTTCTCCTCCATTATCTTCTTGGGACTCTGGGCACGTATGCACATGTGCCCAGTGTGATTTTCAAGCCGCTGGGTCCAGGCCACGAACCGAACTGTGGCTAGCCATGTGGGAATCCAGTGCCTTAACCACCACACCACCTGCTGGTCCCAAATTATGTAAGAATTTTTATAAATACCTTGAAGAAATCATCCTGAGATATGACACTGCAATTTGGGAGGTGTTTCTGCAAATTCTTTGCCAGTGTTGTCTTCCCACCATTTGTCACACTGAACCAAAGAAAATAGAAAGCACCAAGAAGGAAAAATGTGTTAAAAAACAAAACATTTAAAAATGATCCCTTTTTTTTTTTGGAGAGTTTTTTTTTTTTTTTTCTCCCCTTTCTTTTTTTTTGGAGAGGTTTTTGCTATAGGGCACGTGTGCTCGCCAGAAAGACAGTGAGAGACAGAGAGATAGAAAGCGAGAAATCAGCCCCCTGGGGGGATGGCCACGCCACAATCCCTTCTCTGCCATTCTCCATTTGGGATCTTGGGTACGCACGCACACAGCCCTGGCATGAGTTTGAGCTGCCGAGTCTGGGACTCGAACCATGGTCAACTACATGGGAGTCCTGTGACATAGCCATTATGCCAACTGCTGGTCCCTAAAAATGATCTATTTTTTTTTTTTTGGAGAGATTTTCACTGTAGGGCGCGTGCGCTCGCCAGACAGAGAGAGACATAGAGACAGAAAGCGAGAAATCACCCCCTAGGGGGGATGGTCACGCCGCAATCCCTTCTCTTCCATTCTCCTCTCGGGATCTTGGGCATGCACGCACACGCGCCCGGCGTGAGTTTTAAGCCACCGGGTCCGGGACACGAACCACGGTCGACTACATGGGAGTCCAGCGACATAGCCATTACGCTAACTGCTGGTTCCCCCTAAAAATGATCTTTAAAGAAAGATATTTAAAGCAATATTTATATCTAAGAAAAAACATTTTTCTTCAATAGGTATTGCTTTTTTTCTTTTAAGTTTTGCTACAGGGTGTGTATGCTCACTGGAGAGAAACAGAGAGAGGGAGCGAGAAAGAAGGAAAGTGAGAAAGCACTCCCCAGGGGGATGGCCACACTGCAATCCCTTCTTCTCCGTCTTCCTCTTGGGATTTTGGGGCACACACCCACACCCACCTGGCATGTATTTCAAGTCACTAGTTTGGGGACTCCAAGCGTGCAGCCAGCCATGTGGGACCCTGCCACCTTAACCACCATACCACCAGCCGGCCTAGTATTACTTTGTTACTGGCAAAACCATTCACACAGGGAGATTTACTGCATGAAATGGTAAGAAATGAACTGAGGAAGGTGAAGGAAAAGGCAACTACCTACTGGGTAAGTGAGCAGAGTGACGCTGTGAGACTTAAAAATACAGCGATTGTGTTGGAAACCAAATCAGTTTTTGTTTCTGGCAAAGCATTCCCAGGGATGGTGTGCAGATTATGAGTGGCACATTTTAGGGCAAGTGAATAAAGCTGCACGTGGTGGTTGTGATTATCCTCCAGCCCACAGGAGGAGGAAAAACAGGGGGATGACTTGTTTTTTGTTTTTTATTTTTATTTATTCATTCATTTATTCTAATTTGACTAGAGAGAAACAGAGAGAGAGAGAGAGGAGAGAGAGAGAGAGAGAGCAAGCAAGCCGCCAGGTCCAGGACCTGAACTGCGGTCAGCCATGTGGGAGTGTCCAGCGCCCCAACCACCACGACACCCGCTGGTCCCCTAGGAGCATGACTTGTAACAGGCCTGTCCTGTGCATTCACTTCTCCTCTGTGCCGTCTCCTCTCCCCGTTTCTCTCTAGTCTGTTGTTAAGTGGGAGGTCTGCTGTACTTGATCACAGCAGGTCATTTATTTGTCACTCCTGGCCGGACAGCGACGTGGAGAAGGAAGGCCGCCTGCCCGACTCCTCTGCGGGGCCACTTCCCTGGCACTCCCACCCCCCACCCCCCAGAGCACAAGAGAGGCTCTTCTCTATTCAGCCCTTTATCCAGATGTTTTTTTTAACTTGGGGCTCAAGTCGGTTCAAAGGCTCTGTGGACAGATGCAGGGTCTTTGTGACCATGAAAAGGAAAGAAATGACATCTTTATTTTTACACAATTCTTAGAGAAATTTGCATTTCCTTTCATTATAAACATAAGGGGATGTCAAAAAGTTCATGGAAAGGGACCAGCAGACAGTATAATGGCTATGTTGCTAGACTCCCATGTAGTTGACTGTGGTTTAAGTCCTGGACCTGGTGGCTTAAACTCATGCCAGGCGCGTGTGTGTGCGTACCCAAGATCCTGACAGGAGATCGGGAGAAGGGACTGGGGTGTGGCCATCCCTGAAGGGATGATGTCCTTCTCTCTCTCTCTCTCTCTCTCTCCAGCGAGTACACATGCCCTACAGCAAAAAAACCTCCCTCCCAAAAAAGTTCATGGAGCCTTTTGGCCGGAACCTCCATCTTCCAGTAATTAACCAAAATGACGAACACAACAGGGAAGAGGAGAGGCACCCGATGTATGTTCTCTAGGCCTTTTAGAAAACATGGAGTTGTTCCTTTGGCAACATATATGCGAATCTACAAGAAAGGTGATATTGTAGACATTAAGGGAATGGGTACTGTTCAAAAAGGAATGCCCCACAAGTGTTACCATGGCAAAACTGGAAGAGTCTACAATGTTACCCAGCATGCTGTTGGCATTGTTGTGAACAAGCAAGTTAAGGGCAAGATTCTTGCCAAGAGAATCAATGTGCGTATTGAGCATATTAAACATTCTAAGAGCAGAGATAGCTTCCTAAAACGTGTGAAGGAAAATGACCAGAAAAAGAAGGAAGCCAAAGAGAAAGGTACCTGGGTTCAACTAAAGCGCCAGCCTGCTCCACCCAGGGAAGCACACCTTGTGAGAACCAATGGAAAGGAGCCTGAGCTACTGGAACCTATTCCCTATGAATTCATGGCATGATGGGTGTTAAAAATAAACTAATCTGTGGTCTATAAAAAAAAAAAAAGGAAATCTATACAATTAATACATGTTTTCCATGAAGTGTTTGAAGACCTCCCCAATATGAGTAATAAAACACTGGATCATCAGAAAGTCATGGCATGTTTTTGCATAGAAAACCACAGAAAAACATGTTATGATTTTTCCGCTGCCCCAGTACAGCAGTATGAGCAGCACCTGTGACTTCACCAGTACACCCACACTAACAGAGCACACTAGGCTGCAGTTTGGCAGATGTTCTGAAGTATCATTGATGCTTATTATAATTATTATTATTTTGAAATATATTTCTTTATCTCGTCCATGAGAGAGAGAGGGGCTCAGAAACAGCACCCCCAACAGAGTCTCAGTGCTGTGATCCATCTCACCCTGCGCCAGCTGGATCATGGGGACACATGTGCCTGGCGAACTCAGGGAGGTCTCCAGAGGCAACCTGGAACCCCCCCAGTGGGTCAGCCACACAAAGCATCCAGTTCCACTGCTACACCACCATCCAGCCCCTATTCTTTTTTTTTTTTAAGAATTGCTTTATTTAACTTTCATTATTTAAATTTGGCCAGAGAAGGATGGAGTGAGAGAGAGAAAGTGAGGAAGCAAGCCACCAAGTTTGGGACTTGAATCGCGGTTGGCCATGTGTGAGTTCAGAACCTTAACCACCATGCCACCTGCCAGTCCCAGCCTCTATTCTTCTTTTTCTTGTGAGAGTGAGAAGTAGAGAAATAAAGAAGAGGGAGAAAGTGAGAGGAATCGGTATTTTTGACACAATCTTACCATGTCACGATCCCTCTGTCTTAGCTTCCCAGTGAGCTAGGATTACAGACACGTGCTACCTCGCCTGGCCTGTTTAGGTTGGTCTGGGAACCAAACTCGGGATCCCCACATGGCCCTAGCCTCACCTAGTGGTCTTTATTACAGAGACCACTGTGGCTACACCCTGATGCTCACCACTATTTCAAATTTATGGCAGTTTTTCGGGCCCACCCCAGAATATTGCCATTTAATATGTGGACAAAGAGAACATATTAAACTATTTAATGACTATTGTTCCGTATAGCTGGTTTCCGTCACATGCCTGAATTTCATTGTGTGCTTTTAATACTATCATAGAAGAGGTCAAGATTTCCCCACACAAAATTTCCACAACACAAAACTGACTTGCACATCTTGCACATCTGTTTGCAAGCACCTGTACTTAATGCTAGAAAAGATCAAGCTCAACATGTTTAGAATTTAGAAAAAGAGGGGACCAGCAGGTGGTATAGAGGTTAAGGTGCTAGACACTCCCACATGGCTGACTGCAGTTCGAGTCCTGGACCTGGCGGCTTGCTTTCTCTCTCTGTGTGTCTCTCTCTGGCCAAATTAAAAAATAAATGTAATGAATAAATAAACATTAAATAAAAATAATTCTTAAAAAAAAGAACACTAGTCTTTAGTCATCAGGACTGCCTGTTTTATAAAATTCAGTTTTTACCTAAATACCTTACAGCTAGAAAACAGAAGGAACTTAAACTTTATAGTCAGGTGGGATAGGGGTGCCCTGTTTGAAAACAAGGAGAGTTGGCTGTGGTAGCCTGTGAACCAAGAAGACATTGTTACTGCCTTTTTCCTCTGTAACAAATATGTCTGTAAACCATATGAAATGTCCATAGGTTAGATTCTGAGTTTTCATTTAAAATAGACGGTAAACGGGAACCAGCAGTTAGCGTAATGGCTATGTTGCTGGACTCCCACGTAGTCGACCGTGGTTCGTGTCCCGGACCCGGTGGCTTAAAACTCATGCCGGGCGCGTGTGCATGCGTGCCCAAGATCCTGAGAGGCGAATGGAGGAGAAGGGATTGCGGTGTGACCATCCCCTCTGGGGGGTGATTTCTCGCTTTCTGTCTCTATGTCTCTGTCTGGCTGGTGAGCGCACGCGCCCTATAGCAAAAAAAAAAAAAAAAAAAAGAAAAACCCCCCCAAAAAAAAAAAAAAAAAAGACGGTAAATGGGTAACTATAATAACACAAGCAATCTGGCTAAAAAAATTGTGTCCCTTTCTAAACTTAGTTCTTTTTTTCCAATCATGCAGTTGAACTAACAGTAATTAGGCCCTTTTTTCACTGACTTCGCTGGCACCCATGAGAAATAAGTGCCCAGTTTCTGCTCAAGCCTTGGAGATGGACCAGTCAGGAGCTAGTCCGAGTCATGGAGAGGAAGGGAGAAGAAGCGACGTGACCAGTCTGCCCCTAGGAGCCATAGAGGGAACACGCCAGGAGCTAGTCCGGGTCATGGAGAGGAAGGGAGAAGAAGCGATGTGACCAGTCTGAGCCTAGGAGCCATAGAGGGAACGCAACCATCCAGGTCAGTGACAGCTTAGGACTCAGCCTCCTCGGGCAGACTAGCACGCCCTCCTCACTGCGCTCTCCAGCCGGAGGTGGGGAGTGCCCAGGGCATGTTCTCTCCGAGGATCTGAGGAAGGAAAATGGGTAACTATTTGGTGCCCATACACTCAAATAAATCCACAACTCCTGGCCCATGTAGGTTTTATGCTGTGAGGAGAGGGTTCATTGTATTTCAACACGACAGTGGGCTGAGTTTAATAGGCTGTTTGTAATTACTTAAGCAAGAAGAGAAGCCATTCTGCAACAGGTGGATGTTCATGGTGCCACTTTCCATATGATGGGGTGCCCCATATGAAGATGCTCCGGATGGGAAAGTTCTCTATTAATCAAACTTGCCCAAAGTAACAACTGGCAAGTCTCAGGATACAAGTCTGACTCCGGCACAAAGATCTTAAACTTTCCACATCCTGGGACTCTGAGAATCTGATGAAGGTTATGACTCCTTCCCCCAGGACAATGAACACCTTCACACATGCATTACATTTTCAGTAGGTTAGGGGCTGGCAGGGGGCCTGATAGTTAAGGTGCTGGACTCCCACATGGCCAACCGTGGTTCCAGTCTCAGACCTGGTGGCTTGCTTTCTCACTTTCCTTTTCTCTTTCTTTCTGGTCCAACTAAAAAATAATGGTAACAAGTGGAATTAAATAAATAAATTCTTAAATTTTTTTTTTTCAGTAGGTTCATGGATACCCCTAAATTCCTCCAGAGTCCCTACTCTTCCTCATAGTCTCTATTGAATAATTACTTCATAGGGCAGCAAGTGGCTCAGTATGTAATAGAGGCCTGCTTTAGCCAGACTGACTCCATCATCTTCATCATCTTTTTTTACTTTGCCACAGGATGTGTGCCTTCAACAGAGACAGAGACGGAGGGAGAGAAAGGAACCCCCAATGGGGCATAGTCATGCCACAATCCTTCTCCTCCATTTCTCCCTCCTTTTGGGATCTGGGTATATACACATATACCCAGCATGTTTTTCAAGCCACTGGGTCTGAGATTCAAACACTGGGGTAGGTCATGTGTAATCCAGATCCCTTACCCACCAGACCATAGGCTAGCCCAGGCTCCATCTTGTTTTCTCCTTCTCCTCAGCTTGAAACTCTTTGAGATCTTTCTTAGGAACTGCAAGGAGATGGACGTCACAGTCAGTTAACATGAAGCTGAGAGCAATGAGGAATATTCTACCCCAAAGAAGTGGAAATTCTACTGTAAAGTTTGGACTCCCAGCTTAACCAAGTTAAAATTTAACCACGCCTATGCCTTTCTGTACATTGCCACTAGCCTCCAGCTTCTTCCTTCCCCTATAAAAGTGTCTGTACGTTGACTGGCCAAAGACAGTTTTACGTGTCTTTCTGGTGTGGCCATATTGTAATAAATTCTCCGTTCCTCTCTAGCCAACAACTTTGCCTCTCTGTGTCATTCTGAGCAGCAAAGGGTCATTCCTGATTTGGACCTCTGATTGGTTGGCACGGGGTCCCACATCTGGCAACAGCTACTGGGAAAGATACACCACAGTGAGCTTGGAGGAAGGATAAAAAGCAGAAACAGAAGCCACTGCAGTGGAGTCTGTCACGGCTTCACAGAAACAGCATCACTGAAATAAAATCATGATACTTGCTAAAGAAGAGACAGAGGGCCGGCCCTGTGGCTCAGTGGTTGGGGAGCTGAAGTCCACGTGGCCTATCGTGTAGTTTGAATCCTGGCCCTGGTGAGTTGGAAAACATCCTAGGTACATGCACCCACAGGATTCCAACAGGAAAGGGAAATGGAGGAGAAGGGATTGTAGAGTGACTACACTCCATTGGGAGGTGCTTTCGCCCTCTCCCTCCATTTCTCTCTTTGGTGAGCACATACACTCTCTGGTGAATTAAAAATAAATAAATAAAATAAGAAGAGAGGGAGGAAAGAGGTTTTCTTAGGGAGTACTAATGCATATGCTAAGTAGGAATGAGAAGATAGAAGGCCCCATAATGGAACACTGAGAAGTGGAAAGGTTTATTTACACACATGAGATAACATGAAAGTCAGATCATAGCCTCTCGCGGATTTTATAGTCGCTGGCCTGGTTCCCGGCCCTTTTTCGAGGTCTAGTTGGGAGTGACTCTCAATTCCAGAGCAGGGCCCCGGTGGCCTAACCTGATCAATGTAACCCTACCCCTTTCACCATGGTGAGTTGGGTTGTGTGAACCAACCTGATCCAGGCATGACCATGGGAAAGGTAAGAACCTTCCCCCACTAGAGACAGGCTAGAAAGAAGCATCTTGTATTCTCTTTAAACCAAAAAGGGAAGCCAACTCTAGGATGAATCAAAATGAAGGAAGACACAGAAGAGAAGACACCACAGAGCTCCTGTATCACACCTTCACGGCAGCCTACCTACCCCCGACACTGATAAATTTCTTATATTATTTATAGATGGCCCTTATATGTCGTGATATTCAGATTTCACTCTAGGTAACTGGGAACCAGAGTGCTGCTCACCAGGTGAGGGAAGTAATTAAAACATCTTGTGTGATTGAAGCAGTTGAGGTGTATAGGAAAGATCAAGGTCGGAGAGCAGCGTGAGGGAATAACAGCCTGCAGTAGGAAGGTGGCAGCGAGCGGGAAAGGAAGAGATGGATAAGAGAAACAATGCAAAACAAAACAAAACAAACAAACAAACAAAAAACAGAAAACTGGACTCTGGTTTTGAGTAGGTGGAAGGCAAGACTGAGTTCTGGCATCTGGCTCACTCAATTTTACATCTAAAGGACGACTTACTATAGCAGTGCAATATAGTGATACAACACTTTCCCCATAATTACAAATTTTTAATTAATTTTTTTTTAAGTTTTTGTCATAGGACACATGTGGTCACGAGAGAGAAAGAGACAGAGAGAGAGAGAGAAAGAGAGAGAGGAGAGAGAGAGAGAAAGAAGTCACCCCCGTCACCCCCCAGGGGGTTTGGCCATGCCATAATCCATTCTCTTCCATTCTCCTCTCTTGTGATTTTGGGCACACACACACACATGCACCTGGCATGAGTTTCAAACCTCCAGGTCCAGGACTTGAACTATGGTTGGCCATGTGGGAGTCCAGTGCCTAACCATCATACTACCTGCTGGCCTCACAAACGTTTAACAGTCTCAAGTATTCTATTAATTCAGCCATGAACAATGCAAATGTACTCAGAAGGAGGGTAAACATAATATGGTAGCAAAACAATGTCCTTTTCGGGTGCTGTTGATGTTCTTATTTGCATGCCTGGCCCTGGTACCATAGGTAGGATGACATATAATTGAGTGCACATCTAAGAACAAGAGAGGCACCTAGTTAATAACCATTCTAGGACAGAAACTAGCATGGGCAACTCAGGACAGGAGGTCAGTCTAAAAATACGGGGGAAAAGGAGTGGAGGTCGTTCTGTATCCCACATGTCTGAAGGCAAGTGTGTCAGAAACAAACATTTTCTACCTCCATCATGATGGAGGTGAACCCAGACGGTGAATGATAAATCACCTGAACCAACAGAGTGTCTGATCAGGCCTTGCCTCTGGTCTTAGCTCCAGAAAATACTACGTGGGAAGTAGGCAACTGTTGACTGGCTCTATTTCTCTGCGTATAGGAAACCCTTCCACCTCTTGTGGGCATTTCTGTGGCTAGTGATCCACTATTTTATTTTGACAGTGGCCCAGTTTTCCCCAGGGCACCTCCTTCTCCCTCACCATGACCACAGAAGAACACTGTTTAAATATCCTGACTAACTTGGAGCAAAATTACTCACCCACTGATTCCAATGATAAATGTTTTCATAATTAGCTTTGAAAATCCCGTCTTCCTAGTATCTCCTAAAGTTAGAAAGAAAGAAAAATTGAATGTATATGTTTAGATGTCTAGACAGGTAAAAGATACAGCCCCAAATCAGGGGTGTCAACAGAACGGGGAGGATGACGGGATCTCTCGTTTACCCCATCCCCGTGTTTCCTACATTCCATGAAGAGCTTCACGCCGTAGTGGCTTCCTCTGCCACTCAACTGCTAAGAGCCAACTGCTGGTGTGTGCTCAGGGCCTGTCAACCAATGTCAAGTGACCTGAAGGGGTCCTGTAGCCAAGCACAAACCCTAAATGTTTGTTTTAAAGGGTATAAAAGAGTTGCTATCCTTCCCTTAGCCAGGTCGCCTTTTTTTCTTCCTTTTATTTATTTTTTTAAGATTTTTTTGCCATAGGGTGTGTGTGCTTGCTGGATAGAGACAGAGAGAAAGGGAAAGTGAGAAATTACCTCCCTCCTTGGGGGGATGGCCACACCACAATCCCTTCTCCTCCAGTTTCCTCTCAGAATTTTGGGCACACATGCACACATGCTTGGCATGTTTTTAGGGCCACTGTGTCTATGACTACACATACCGGTGTGTTTTACTGGCTGCTAGGACAGGAACTTGAACCATGGAGTCAGCCCTGTGGGATCCGGTGCCTTCATCACCATGCTACCTACTGGCCCAATCTGGTCGCCTTTCACCTGCATGATTCAGTCACCTGGGTATGACTCATTTCCCTGACCCTCTAGGGGCCTCTCTTTCTCTCCTGGTGAAAGACAGAGAAAGTCACTGCTGTCCAGAGCAAAAAGAAGCTAATGGTTTTTAAGGGCACCATTTCCTCACCTGAAAACCTATGCTTGGACCTAGCTACAAACATTTTTGGAAATGTGCCAGACAGTAAATATTTAAGGCGATGTAGGCCAAGAGGCAAAATCTCAATTATTATGCAGGACTTATGTAACAAAAGGAAAATAAATTTTTGCAAATTTATTCATAAAATTAAAAATATAATAAGCATAAGTACTTTTTCTTTCTTTTTGGTAACACCAGAAGAATGGGATTCCTTCTTTACTGGGATGCCATGTCTCTTAATTGGATTCTGCAGCTAGTGTTCTGTCATGTTCAAGGAGAGCACCAGGTGTAGGCACAGGCTCCATTCTGTGGACCCGTGGTTTAGGAGGTGGAGGGCAGTATCAGACATGGCCCCTAAGGTTTTCCAAAGCTGCCGTTGGACAGTACAATGGACTGTTTTGACTCAGAGTGAAAAGGTGAAAGCATGTCAGGAACTGTAGAAGAGTGGTTCCTGGCGCCCCCCCCTGAATGACGCTGCTCTTCACTTCTGCCTGCTCAGGATAGGTGGTCAGGGACCTAAGCTGTACAGTCCAGAGGGGAGTGTGAGTGTTGCTCTCAAGCCCTATCCTGGGACCTGCATCCATGCTCCCTCTATGAAAAGGGTTGTGGAGAAGAGCCTGGTGGGAGGAAGGATGGTGTTCCCTGGTTTATCTAGAATATTCCTAACTAAATGCAATTACTTAAGGTTGAGTTCCACTTTCATTAACAAGCCTATGTGAGACAAGAATTCAATAATTACTGTGATGGGGCTGGCTGGTGGCATGGGGGTTAAGGTGCTGGACTCCCACATGGCCGACCACAGTTCGAGTCCTGGACCTGGTGACTTGCCTTCTCACTTTCTCTCTTTCTCTCTCTAGTCAAATTAAAAAATAAGGGAACCAGCAGTTAACGTAATGGCTATGTCGCTGGACTCCCACGTAGTTGACCGCGGTTCGTGTACCGGACCCGATGGCTTAAAACTCACGCCAGGCGCATGTGCATGCGTGCCCAAGATCCCGAGAGGAGAATGGAGGAGAAGGGATTGCGGCGTGACCATCCCTCCTGGGGGGTGATTTCTCGCTTTCTGTCTCTATGTCTCTCTCTGTCTGTCTGGCGAGCGCACGCACCCTATAGCGGAAACCTCTCAAAAAAATTAAAAAATAATAACACTGGGACCAGCAGTTAGCGTAATGGCTATGTCGCTGGACTCCCACGTAGCTGACCGCGGTTCAAGTCCCGGACCCGGTGGCTTGAACTCACGCCGGGCGCGTGTGCGTGCGTGCCCAAGATCCCAAGAGGAGAATGGAGGAGAAGAGATTGAGGTGTGGTCATCCCCCCTGGAGGGTGATTTCTCACTTTCTGTCTCTCTCTGTCTCTGTCTGTCTGGTGAGCGCACGTGCCTATAGCAAATAATAATAATAATAATAACACCGATAAATAAAGTTAAATAATTCTAAAAATAAAATGACTATGATTTAAAAAAAGTAACAGAACAACTGGATATTTGCGTTTTACCCAGATTTACACTCTTCACTATATATCTCCTTCCAAATTGCCAATGTGTTTCAAGGGAATGATGCATACGATGAATACTGTAAAATGAACTTTTTATGTTGTAATGTTTCTACTTCTGAATTTTATTGTTCTTATTTTTGGTATATCAATGTAAGATTGTCAACTCTCTTTTTTAGGGGGAAGGGAGAGAGGCTGACCATTACCTGAGATGGTGTCTTTCTTATTTTTATGGTGATAAATGCCCTCTTTTTTCTTTTTTTTTTTTAAGAGGTTTTTGCTATAGGGCGTGTGCGCTCTCCAGGGGGGATGGCCACACTGCAATCCCTTCTCCTCCATTCTCCTCTCGGGCATGCACCACACACACACCTGGCGTGAGTTTAAGCCACTGTGTCCGAGACTCAAACCGCGGTCCACTACACGGGAGTCCAGCGACATAGCCATTACGCCAACTGCTAGTCCCAAATGTCCTTTTTCTTATGAAATTATTTTGTTAGTAGAAGGTAGTAGATGGGATGTCCTCATTTGGCAAAAAATTTTGAAAAAGTCATAAAACTTGGCTCCTCCTTGGCCCTACCTTGTGTAGACAATTTGTCAGAACACGAATTCTCAAGCTTGGAGAAATATAGTCGCAGAGATCACTCAGTCCTCCCCTTCACCTTGCAGAAGTGGGAATAGATAGCCCAGACAATGGAGTGATTTGCCCACGCTTACACAGTTGGTAGGTGGAAAAGCCAGAAATGATACCAAACCCAATGAATTAACTTCTTTCCGTCACTCCAAGCTGTTAAAATGCACTTCATTACCAAGAGCAAAGAGCAGATGCTACACACGTGCTAGCTGAGACGACAGGCTCTGATGTATAATTGATGTCATTCTCGTTGATGCATTGTGCACGGGGCTTATATTGGCACACTGGGGGGTGGGGGAGGCTGCCCTCTGGCCCGCCATCCTAGCTGCTGCATTTGTGCACGCATGTGAGGGTACTGTGTAAATAACATAGCATGTAAATAACCAGCGTGGTTGTGGCACTGGAGATAGGCTTGAGGGGTTATTTGCATGAAAAGCAGGAATTCAGAAACTAGGACGAGGTGAAGTCAAGAACAAATGTATAAAATCCCTTAGGGAAGTGAGCGGTGGGTCTCAAAAAGCTCATATGCGAGTTTTATCAAAACAGGAACCCCGACTGTGTTACTTGGTAGCCTGTCCAGGGCCATGTTTGGGTAACGGATGGGCATACCCAACTAGCAATCAGCAGGGGACGATGCAGCAGGAAAGGTGAGGATGTGGGACATGCAGGAAGAAGACAGGTGGCGGGTTGAGTGTCAAGGGTGGGGTGGGAAGACAGGCCTCGCAATCTGTGAAGTCATTTATTTCTAAAACAGCATTGGATGAAAAGTAGCAGGGGAACTCCAAGTTCAGGCCTGCCCATGCCCATACTATGTCCTAATATTTCATTGCCTATTGCTCTCTTTGAGAACTATTTAAAAATCAGATTTAAAAAGTTCATAATCAAACCAACAGTTTGAAAGCCAGGTGACAGCCTGAACAAAATGTGCTTACAAATGCATCTAAATGAAGGTCTTTTTTTTTTTTTTTTGGAGAGGTTTTCACTATAGGGCGCGTGCACTCGCCAGACAGAACGAGCGATAA